GTGGTGGCAGCCTGGCTGGTGCGGGAGCAGGTCTGGGGCAGGACAGGCATGAGGAGGACCTCCGTGGTCTCCATCAACTCATGGCCATCCCTTGGGGGATACAGACAAGGTGGGAGGGATGGGCTCTGTCCAGCATTGCTGGAGAGGACCCCCCCGGGAACACTGACCCCCCTCTTGCTGTCTCTGCTCAGGGGTTGGAGGTCCGGCCGCAGCAGCAAAAGCAGCAGCGAAGGCAGCCAAATTTGGTGAGTCGCTGGAGAAGCCCATCGCTCATGGCTCAGCCCACAGCAGGCAGCCCTACCCACCCGGTGGGCATCTGGGGTCTCCCCATGAGCCCTGGCGTGGCACAGACTGGTCCAGGGGGAGCTGGGGGGCTTCAGGGGTGGGTACCCCACACCGGGCATATCATCCCACGGGAGTATGGGGATCACACAGGGATCACCCCCACGCTGTCTCACGCCCTCTCTCCGCAGGTGCCGGTGTCGGAGGGGTGCCAGGTGGGGTGCCCGGTGTTGCCGGAGTGCCAGGAGTGACGCCCGGTGTCGGCGTCGTGCCCGGGTTGGTGCCGGGTGTGGGGATACCTGGTACCGGCATCCTCCCCGGAGCAGGTACGTGCTTCGTCACATCCCGGTCGGGGACCTGCTTGGGGACAGCAGTGGCCGGGGATGCTAAAAGCCACCGAGCCATGTGGAGGGTGGCGGGGGGGATGCAGGCAGGATGGGGGACGGTGGCACGTGGGAGGGGTGCAGGGATGACTGTCCTAACCGTGGTGTCCTCATCCACTTTGCAGGCATCCCCCAAATAGGGGTGCAGCCTGGTGCTAAACCTCCCAAATTCGGTAAGTATCTCTGCCACCCTGCCCCAGGTCCACCTCGGACCGTCACCAGGCACCCTCCTCATGTGGCCATCGGGGTGCTGGCCTCACTTTGTGTCCCCTTGCATGCCCCCTGGTGCCCCGGTGGAGGGTGGCCCAGGCATGGGAGGTGGCGTGCTGTCATCCGTGGGTGCAAAGTGCCACCTGTGCCCCCTCCCCTGGACTCCCTGGGGACATTTTTCTCCTGCTCTGCATTGCCTGCAGCAATGTGTCATGCAGGGGGTGAGCCCCCTCCGGGTCTTCCTGCTCTGGGTGCTGTGAGATGGGTGCCAGGGCCACTCAGGATGGGTGTCAGGGCCACCCCAGCGGGTCGAGCACTGGCTGGGGGTGCACCGAGCTGTGGGTGCCGGGCTGCAGGGGGACAGGGGTTAATGGTCTCTCTCTGGCAGGTGTTCCCGGGGCTGGAGTCCCAGGGGTCGGTGGCATCCCAGGTAGGTGCTGGCAGGAGCTGAGCCCGGGCAACGGGGATATGCGGGCAGGGGGATGCTCCCCAGAGGGATGCGGGCAGAGGGATGCTCCCCTAGGGCATGGGGGGAGCGGGGCTGCCTGAGGAAGAACAGGCACACGTGGGGCTGGGCAAGGAGCGGAACAGACGCTGCCCCGCTGCCCATCCCCACTGGCGCTCACCTGGGCTCCCCATCATAGGTGGCCTCGGAGTCGGTGGCCTCGGAGTCGGTGGCCTTGGAGTTGGTGGGCTCGGTGCTGGTGAGTGATGCTGGCCCCTGACATCGGGGCTCCCCAGGGCTGGGGTGCAGGGACCAGAGTGGCAGCGGCATGCTGGCAGAGTGCCGAAACGGAAAGAGGATGATGGGATGCAGGGGATGGATGCAGGGTCGCTTTTGTCCCCTCCCGGTCCCATGACCCCACACTGTCACCGTGCCCTGTGCCCCATCTTGTGTCTGCCGCCTGCCCTGCTCCTGGGGTGTGATCGGAAGGGAATGCCATCACGGAGAAGGTACCGAGGGCCATAGCACCAGCATTGCCCATGCCAGGGGGACAGGGGACGGTACTGTACCATGTCCCCAACATGCGGAGATGCAGGTCCCTGCCTGGGGAGCCTCTGGGCTCATAGCAGGGTCTGGCTGCAGCCCCGGGGACAGCGAGCCCTCGTGGGGGCTGCACTGATGCCCTTCTCTGACACAGGGATCTTGTATCCAGGAGCTGTTGGGAAACCTCCCAAGCCAGGTAAGGAGCAGGGGCTGCTCCGGCCAGGGGGGCTGGAGGGGTGAGCCCCATCCCTGTCCCCATCCCTGTCCCCATCCCTGTCCCCATCCCTGTCCCCATCCCTGTCCCCATCCCTGTCCCCATCCCTGTCCCCATCCCTGTCCCCATCCCTGTCCCCATCCCTGTCCCCATCCCTGTCCCCATCCCTGTCCCCATCCCTGTCCCCATCCCTGTCCCCATCCCTGTCCCCATCCCTGTCCCCATCCCTGTCCCCATCCCTGTCCCCATCCCTGTCCCCATCCCTGTCCCCATCCCTGTCCCCATCCCTGTCCCCATCCCTGTCCCCATCCCTGTCCCCATCCCTGTCCCCATCCCTGTCCCCATCCCTGTCCCCATCCCTGTCCCCATCCCTGTCCCCATCCCTGTCCCCATCCCTGTCCCCATCCCTGTCCCCATCCCTGTCCCCATCCCTGTCCCCATCCCTGTCCCCATCCCTGTCCCCATCCCTGTCCCCATCCCTCTCCCCATCCCTGTCCCCACCCCCACACTCCCTGCCCTCACCAGGGCTCTCCTATCCCGCAGGTTTTGGTGTTGGGGGTCTGCAGCCAGGTGAGTGCCGCAGTTTGGGGCTGGGGTGGGAGCGTGTACCCTACCACGTCACACTTGTCCCCGCTTGCTGTCCCCACCCTGCTGCTGTCCCCTGCTGGACACACCACTGCCCAGGAGAGCACCCCAAAGCCAGGCGTGTGCCCCGGCGGGGACAGGGGCTCTTGAAGCGGCTCATGCCCCTGCAGTGAGCCAGGGTGTCCCCAGCCAGGCAGGTTTGGGGTGGCACTGCTGTCACAGGCTGTCACTGGCTGTTGCTTTTTCCCCAGGGGTTGGAGTTCCTGGCTTTGGCGTGTCACCGATATTTCCAGGTACCATCCCCAGCTCGGCACCTTGGCACGCACCCGGGGCACATCTTGGTGCCTGGCTGGCTCGCGGGGACACGCACAGCCCACGGGGCACGGGGACACGGTCACGGCCTGGGGAGGGACCCAAGGGACTGGGCTGAGCCGGGGGGTGCTCAGATGGGGGTGCGGGGCAGAGCAATGTGGGTGCCCGTTGGGTGCTGAGGGCTTTGCTCTGCTTTCAGGTGGGGTCGCCGGCCAGCTGGGATTTGGTGGTGAGTGTCCAGCCCCCGAGTGGGGCATTTTTGGGGTGGGGTGGGGTGCATATCCCCCCTGCACCCAGCGGCCAAGTGGGGTGGGGGTCCCGCTCACCCCGCTCTGCCTCCCCCCTACAGGGAAGCCCCCCAAGGCCTTCGGAGGAGCCCTCGGTGCCCTGGGCTTTAGAGGTGAGTGCTGCTGCCAGGTGACACCCCGCCTCGCTGGGGCCGGCTCCTGCACCCCCTGCCCTTCTCCCAGCCACCCCTCCAGGGGTCCGGGGGGTGCAGGGGGGTCTCACCCTGTGCATCCCCCCCCAGGCGGCGTGGGCTGCGCACAAGGGAAGTACTGTGGGAGGAAGCGGAAGTAACCACCCGCCGTCACCGATGACCTCATGAACTTTGGTGCTACTGCATGGTCCAGAATGTAAATCCCAAGCAAAGCTGAGACATCCTCCCCTCCCCAAAACCCTGGAC